CCGATGCCAAAAACCTACTAAATTAATCATTTTTTATTATTTTCACCTAAGTCCTTTTCAATATATATGCGCCCCTAAGTCTTATATCCACTTTATAATAGATCATTCTTCTTTCTCTACATCACCAATTCACCACAATCAATTACCACTTCCTTTTCCAGATACAAAAATGCAGTATAGTAAATGAAATCCTGCATGTTCTTGCAGATTCTAAGTTGATGGTGTAGGATGAGTAAGCGTGGCCATGCACATAGGGCCCAAATGGCCAGGTAGCAATTAGGATGCCAAGGACCCGTAACATGGCATAAAGTTGAAAAAATATTTCTGAAAATAGAGATACAAAAGATCCACTTTGGGCTACAATACAAGACTGAGTGGCCAAAATCACTTCATCATATGAGCCTGAGCCATGCAACTGTGCTAGAAGCCTGCCCATGGTGATGTATGGAAGCTGGGGCTTTGGCAGTTTGGCCCATACTTGGACCCTGGCCTTCAAATGCCTCCATGGACAAATTAAGCAGTACTGGTTCTACTGCTATGTAAAATCGAGCCATGACAGAAACACCAGAGGTCATGGTTATGAGTCCATGACTAAAGTAATTAAAGGAAAACAAAATGTTAATTAAAAGAGTTACAGTATGAAATTGATCTCCTTAATTAGTTGAGATCCAAGTACCCAACTCAAGCTATTATAGGAAAGTGAAAAGAAAGGAAAAATTATCCCAGTTGTGTAAAGCAAGATTAAAGGACCCATGAATTTGGACTTCTCGAGATGAACTTGAGTGATTAAGAGCACAAAATTCTCCAATATGGCCCATTGCCCCCTGAAAGGTGACAAGTTCAAACACTAACTGCAACTTCGGGTTGAGATATTTTGCACTACCAGAGAGAGAGAGAGAGAGAAAGAGAGAGATTGTCTGAGATAGCCACATGAAGTCTATTGTTTTGACAGTTCAATATGATCCACCCGTAAAAGGATTCCCACCACTTATTGGGCAAGCTTTTGGATGGTCCTACCTGTAGAGTGTGGTGGATTCTTCAACTTTTGACAGACCAGCTCCTAGTGGTGGGCTAGTCCCAGCCGAATAAACCCACCAAGCCAGTTCAAGAAAAGACCTAGTTAACCACACTGATCCTCTCCTAAGCATTGTCGGTTCTCTACTTGTTTTAAGTACTCCAAGCTGGAGTCTGTTTAGTCCTATTTCAACCCAGCTGCCTGCATTTGGTGACCCTTTTCTACCCTAGTTCAACCATTTTTGGACTTTACTTTTTTGATGATTTTCTATAAAATTAGCTACCTACGTAGAAAATCACTTGATGACTTATGAAATCTCAACATCCATGACCATTGTCTGAAGTTTCCACTTTTACCTTGGGCCCTATATACCCTATTCTCATCAGCAAGAGCCCCACACAGATTAATAGAAAATGCTAAGTTTGCCCCTAGAATCATGGTGAAACCAAATTGAGCTAAACCTGGATCTGCATCTAATACACACACTCCTTTGCACACCTTGCTTTGAATGAAAGCCACACATCTGTGCACAGCAGCACTGGTACTTCATCAACTTGATGCATTAAAGCCGAGACTTCAGGGGATTCGCTGATATAAGAATGACCCTCTTCTTGTTAGCCCTAGCCATCTGTCTCAAGCTTAGGCACTCTGCATGTATTTGATATATACAGACGAGAGACGACCCCATTGATGAATATATAGAGAACTCCTGTGAAAGTGACATATGGAAATGCATTTCCTAAATGACAAGGGACAATTCTCAGGCCTAAAGCTGGTGGGTTGAAAAAACTTAGTTCAGGAACGTAATTGCCACCACTTTTTTTTTTGTTTGCCAACTCTCCATCTACCATTTCTTTCACAATCACAAAAGCTTTGTCGAGATGGTGGGTCTGTTTTTCTCCAATAGCTTTTCTCTAGCCCTTGCCGCGCCTGCTTCTCCTAACCCACAACTCCAGCTTCTTGATCTACAATTAATAGGCAATAAGACAATCCTTCTATGAGAATGGGTCCTCCTTGGTTATAACCCTAAAGACTAAATCAGTGCAATTAATTAAGGGCCCATTTGGTTTGCGGTATTGATAGGGTCTAAAGTCAGAATCAGAGTTATTCCAATTTCAATCATTTGATTGAACGAATGGAATCTCATTCTCATTCTTGATGGAATGGCACTCTCCAGTCATTCCCTTAATTTCCATTCTTATTTTTGTCTGAACCAAACAGCCTATAGGAGTAGACCTTTCCAATTTATACCCTAAATTGTTGGGGTTCCATCAGTCTTAATTTGTAGCAGGGTTTTTGACATACCAAAGTCGCTTGGAAAGAGAAGAGAGCCACTGAATTATTGGCTGCCACTGCCAAGCATGATAATTTGTATTACGGTCTTAAAGGTTAAACAGCTTGATTTGCCATCCATCAGTCCTAAGGCTTTTGACACACCCCAAGAAAAAGGACTTCTGGTGTATTGACCTCTTGGTAAATGACACACGTCCCCCTTCCCCAGAAAAAAGAAAAGAATAGATTTCTTCTCGAGTTGCAGAATTTCTGAGAAGTAGTGCAGGCAAACAGCCAGAAAAATGTTGGCTAGCTATAAGCCTGATAATTTATTTCAGTCTTAAAGGCTAAACAGCCAGATTTTCCACCTCTCATTCCAGCAGTCCTATGGCTTCAAACATATTAGCCCCCAGGAAAGGGCTTCTGGTGTGTTGGTCAGGTACGTAGCAAATGATCCCTTAGTCACAAACTTTCTGCACATGAGCAACCCTCTAAGAGAGTCAAGACAGTGAGATCCATAGTTAAACTGGCTATGTCCTTAAGAGGGTCACTCTCTCACCCAGACAAACAAAATAAACCGGCAGCCTTTGCTTTCTCAGTATTGCATATATATGATTGCATGCAAAACTAGCTAGCTTCTGTGTATCACATTTAGATCAACAAGGGAAGCTTAGGCTGTGTTTGGTTGCAGTGCAAATTTATTTGCACTAGCACAAATGCATAGGAGTGCAAATGAAAAAAATGCAAATTCTTGTTTAATATTGTTTTGGATTTTATTTTATTCTACTTCATGACTTAATTTACTTCTCATTTTAGTGCAATCAAACAAAATAAGATAAAATTTAAAACAAAAATAGGTCAGAATTTACACTCAAATCATTTGCACTGCCATGGTTTTGCATCAGTGCAAATTTATTTGCATTGCAACCAAACACTGCCTTAAGTACTACTTATGATATGTAAACTCATATAATATTATATATTTCTTCATTCAATGTTAGAATTTTTTTTGATTCAATGTGTAACAATGGGCCAATCAATTTAATTAACCACCATGCATGTCCCAAAAAAAAAAAAAACGAAAGAAAAACTAAATATGGACCCATACCTTAACAGTAGTTCAGTTATATGTTGTTATACTTGGAACATTTTGATCATATATTAATTTGAACTCATACAAATACAAATGAAATATTTTCATTTTAGTTTTCAGTAGTATTCAAATTCAATGGTTTTATCATTCGAAATAGATTAATTTCCCCTTAAATAAAAATTAGGAAATAATAACAATATTAATTACTTGAAACCCCGAAATGATCTCTTCCTATATATATTTTTTAAAATTTTTTGAAAAAAAAAAAAACGCCCGAAGACTTATCCATTCATCAAATCCTCAGATAATCTGTTAACAATTGGAATGATTCCACTACATAAATTGAACTAGCAAGCTAAAATCCAAAGGAAAACCATAATGAGATCATTTCACTTCGATGACATCTAAACAGCCCTTACATCATGATATGCTTCCACTGTGAACATTAAGCAAACCAGTATAATATATTCTGCATATATATATATATATATTATATAGTTTTGATCCTCTTAAGTGATAAAGTTTCATTAATTACAACCCACATGACTCCAACAGAAGCTAAACCCTAACTGGGTAATCCAACAGTAAATCTGCAGCAGTAGAAGAAGTTGCCTTCACACTCACCACATGTAAGGAACTAAAATAATCATACAAATCTGTAACATTACAACCCAATTAGATTCAAGCATTTGTGGGAGACAGATGGTTGAATAAAATAAACACAGAAATCCCTAGGAAAAGTTTCCTGCATGCAACAGTCCGGCCACCCAATAAAATATGTACAACCATGATCTGATGATCCCAAAAACTTGTTGCTTTGGTGATGAAATTGGCCTCTGAATTAGGTCAAGGGTACCCTGAAACCTTGTGTAGAGCAGCAGGAATTAGCCAAACATCTAAAGTTATTAATTAATCAGACATCTCTCCAAGCAATTACTAAGGACAACCAAGAAACCCACCCCGGAAGTAATCGTCACATGGGTCCCATCTTTAATTGATCGTCATTTCGATGCAAAGGCCAATACCACCGTATCAAATTGATCAAATCAGACTTGCGTGCAAGTCTCAATAACCGATTGGTTTGGTTTGGTTAAGAGCTGTGAGAAGTGCAGTCGAACACCTGTGCTACGTTTGTCTTCCTTGTTGCTTGATTCGTATTGGGGTATTTTCATTGTCTAGGCATCCTCATTGGAAAATGGCAGACTAGTTTGAAGTGCACAATTCTTGTCAATTTGGCCCTATCTAGGGTATCTCCTTTGGTGGGGGCAGGCAAACTTGAGGATAGATCAGAAACTTAATCAGATGATCACAACCATCAAATTATGGTCATGTCCTGGCCCCACCCCCAACCCATTTTCAAAAAATATCAGTTAAATTAACCCTAGTCATGAAATCCATTTTTTTTACCTGGGAAATGAATGTAACTGTTTCCTAGCAGCTGGTCTAGCTAGCTAGATCTCGATTCAGATTCTCAGACTTTCTAATAACCTATCCGATTGTCATGAGCAGCCATGCAGACAGACTTGAGCACAGAATAGAGATCACTCACTAGTCACTTCCATAAGCATAAAATAATTGAACAAGCATTAATTAGGATCCCCCAAACAAGAAAACTGCACATATGAAAGGAATGTAGATTAGAAAACTTGGGTTTTGGTTAATTGTATTTTGTTGATCACTAATGTCAAGACAATGGTCTTTACTCACCAAAATAAACACTCAGTACAGTGGCCTACACAAATTGTTGCCAAAGAGAACAGAAATTTAACACTTGAATCCCTTCTTTATTCTGTACCCCTCTCAATGTCTCTCCCCCTCTATAGTCTATCGATGTAGCATTAGTCCTTTATTTATTCTCTCTCTCTCTCTCTAACATTTTTTTAAGCAAAATAATAAATAAATTTAAAATATAAGATACCCATCGTAAGCTACACCCAATTCCTATATGTTTATGTATCAAATTGATGAAGTTTGTCCACCGCATTTCAAGCCAACCGGAATCTGACCCACTTACCTATGCGACAACCTCTGCAAATCTGACCCACTTTCCAAAGATCAGACACACCCAGTGACACACCCACATGAGCTCTGATAAAAGTTATTCCACATTGTCTCACTCAACCATGGCCATTGAGGACGGGTTGTTGTTGTTGTTGGTAACAATCTCGTACCCACTTGCTTCATCTTCATCGTCTTCATCGCCATCTTCTTCTTGGTTTTGATCTAAATTCTCGCTGCCAATATCTTCCATTACAGAATCCGGCCGTGGTGGTTCCTGTCGGAGGGGTCTTGCTTGTTCAGGCAGACTCATCATCTCCCTCACTAGGTCTTCCGGCTTCAACCCATATCCGGGATTGAATGAATCATCCATCTTCTTCGTCCTCTCTTTGTAGAGCGCGTCGAGTTGGTGGAAGTACGGGCATGTCTTAGAGTCCTCCGGTCTCTTCTTGTTGCTCTCCTTTACCTTCTTGAAGTACTTGTTGATGTTCTCCCATTTCTCTTTGCACCTCTTCGCACTCCGGTTGTAACCAAGCTTTTTCATGGAGGATGAGATCTCCTCCCATAGAGGTCCTTTGGGCCCATTTTCCTGATACTTGAGATCCAAGTTGGTTCGAAGATTGATCAGAGCTTGAACTTCAGACTTGGGCCATCGAGAAGAACTCAATGGACTGAATGTCTCCACGACGTTATTAACATTATCTGTTCGTGGAGGCTCCACGGTTTTCTCCGATGGCATTTGATTCTCCGGCAATTGCACTTCCCTCAATTGCACCGGACTCGACTGTTCTGAGATCTTCTGCAAGAATGCAATCACAGCTGTATCCTTTGCCGCGGCGATTGATCGCTCTTGGACTAATATTTCATGTTCCCGATTCATTCGTGCCATCTCTTGGATCTTCCATGCTTCCTCTCTTTCCACCCTCTCGCGCTCCCGCTTCTCTAGTGCTTCTAGGAATCTCATCTGTAACCTCTCCTGTTTATCAATGACCTCCTTCATGAGTTTCTCGAAGAAATTCATTAATTTCTTCTTCTTCCTCCGCGTCCCTTCCGATTCTTCATCGGAGTCTGTCGATGATGATGAGGTGGCAGAGGTAGAGACGAAATCGGTAGTACTAACGTTCTGGATAGAAGATGGGACAATGTGTTGAGTGATGTTTGGTGGGTTTTCCTTCGGCATTGTTGTCGTTGTCGTTGTCGTCGTCGTCGTCGTCGTCGCTGTCGTCGTCGACGTGGGCATCGTCGTAGTAGGAGTTTGAAGCACTTTTTGCGGCGAAAGCGGAGGAAGTGAGTGGTTATCGAGTGCTTCTAACTGATCGAAAAATCGGTAGGCCTTGCCGTCTTGCTTAGCAGCTCTTCCATCCTTGGTTCTCTTGTGGTACTTGTACACGTTCTCGAACTTCTCTTTGCACTTCTTGGCACTTCGGTGATACCCAAGCTCTGCTAGTTTCCTGATAACAACAGTTTCGAAAAACTCCATTTCCGTTTCTCTTTTTTAATTTTATATCTCGAAACCACCAATAAAATCTAATCTAAAAACAAAGATTTACAAATAAAATAACTTCGTCAAACCCAAAAGAAAGAGAAGTGTGGTTGGATTAAAAAATCAGAACACCATAAACTACGCCATGAACTTATGATTGTAAGACTGAGACAAGTCTGCTTTTTAAGAAGCGAAGAAAGCTGAAGCCAAGATGGTTTCTTGAGTACAATTTTGCTTCTGTCCTAGACTTGCTATAAATCAGCTCAAGATTCATAAACAAATAAAAAGCGAAGACTTGGAAAAGGAAGAAATGAAATCCATGCAACAAGGACTGAATTTTCTGTTATCTTGCTTCGAATTTCACTGCCGAAAAATGAAAATTGGGATGGAGAAGAAAAAAAATTTGAAACCCATCTTTCGATACCCAAAATTTTATAGATCTTATCGAAGAGAGAAAAGGAAAATGTACAGAAAACAACAAACAAAAGCCTCAATTTTGAATTCTCCTTCTCCTACTTGGGTTTTGTCGCTGAATTCGTCCTAATGAACGAAAAACATCCACTACGTTGGATTTCAAAACAAGCATTTGACGAAAAACCCAAAAGAAAATTGCTCTATAAACAAATCAAAAGCTGCCTAGCTAGATAAGCGAATATATAATTACCTAGAAACCTCTTCCCACAGTGGACCTTTGAGAGTGGAGTCACGAAAAGCAACGTCCATTTCAGACCGTATCTTCAGTAACGCCAACGTTTCTTGACGAGGCCACCGATTTCCGGCCAAATTCCGCTCACCCTCTCTCCCCCTCTCCTCCTCTCCAAATCCACCTGCAATTGACCCAACAGCACCCACCTCACCTTCATGATTCCCGTCGGTGGCTCCACCACTCGAATTCCCGGTCAAACCTGAAACCCCCAACATGAACTCGCCGGAAGTTACAGCTGAAAAATCTAACAAAAGAAGGTGAATTAACAGGTTTATGTGAAGATGGGTGGGGTGAATTTGTTGGTTTGTTTAAGTGGGCTCAGCCTCTCAATCTCCCTTAACCTCTTTTTTTCTTTTCCTGCCTCCAGTAATCGAATCTTCAATTCTAACTTTTTTTTTCTTAGAACACTAGAGCATGATTTGGGTTCTTCTCTCTTGGGAGTTTACTAGTAATGAAAATGGCAGAAGGGAAGTAAAAAAAACCAAAAATAAAAAAAAAGAGAGAAATTCGTCATCAGCGGCTACAGCTGCAGATAGCGACGATGGTGATAATAAGTTGGTTTTTGTCTGTCCAGCTAAATATAGTTAAAGCCGGCCCATGTAGGTCAGCTTTGCTTTTTGAGAGCGTCTTGGGTTTCAGTGGCTTTGGCCACATTCGTGCACAATTACTATAATACCCTTCTTTTATGACAAATTCTTCCAAATGATTGCGGGATAATTTCATCGATTCATTGGATTTTAGAGGGCTTGAGTGATTTCATCTCCTGGGTCCTTTTTCGTATTACCCAAAATGCCCTCGCTCCTCGAGCTGAACAGTCTTGAATCACTTTGGGTGAAAATTTGTGGCCCTTGTGCATACACAGAGGCCAATAGGACCTACGGAGATGTCGACCACCATTTGGGTTTTGGACTCTTTTTAGCTTACTGGAAAATATATCTACATGAATATACATAGAAGAAATTGGGTCCGGCTTTTAGTTAACTTACGAGCTACCATATTGAATGACATTGCAAGATCTTACTTCTAATTTTCAAGCCTGTAATCAATGTTGTTTGAATGCAACCTACTCTGCTGTCTAAAATACATTCTGGAATCCGAACTCATTGTCTTCACAAATTATGCAATCACCTTTTGGGTGATTTGCCAATTATTCGATATTTCCCTTCTTGTCTTTCAGATGAATTCAGATCGAAAAATTACAGCCATATATCGAGAATATTTTTGTATGAATGACAACATACAAGCGGAAAGATATTCTCAATGAGCAACTGTAGTGCCTTGTGGATAGGGTATGAAAAACATTTTATGGGTAGTAGATCCGATCTCCTTTCAAACTATTTCTTAGTGGTGCAGTTATTTCATGAATTATTTCTGCATATATGAAAATGGCATTTCTTTCTCTTTTCTTCGATTCCTCTACCTTATCTTTTTAATTTAACAAAATTTAGCATTTTGGATTCATTGATTTCATTACCCAAATGATGAAGACACCTCATTCAGTGCCCAAGAGTATGATAAGGAGTGAATTAATTGTGCATTTAGTGCTCAACCATACCCTTGAAAGTGGGTTTTTCTCATTTGTTACAAGGGCATATTTGTCAACCAAAAAGATCCAAGCTTTATCTATCCAGCAGTAACATGCATGCATTTGCCCCAAGGGCATTCCAGTAATTTGAGCTGAAAAGCGAAGGAGTGGTAGGTCGGTAAAGGGTGAACGTCAATCCTAAGTGGCACGTTTATTTCTATTTTTAGGGCAGAGTGGCACGTTACAATTAATTAATTAATAATTTTCTTTTGTTTCTCCTCCAACTATTTATTAATTTATTTATTTATTGTTTTTATTTTTAGATCAGTTAGTTTTATGTCGACTCCTTAAAAAGCTTCGGTGGCAGCTTTTTCAAGTTGATGAAGAGGAGATGCCACCGAAAATCCTTTTTTTTTTCTCCTTTTTATGTTTTTTCCCTTTTAACGGGTAAAAGCATCTAACCATCTATCTTTCCTTGGAAGCCTATCTGTCTCTGGGAATTAAAAATAAAGCTATTTTCAATTAAAAAATAAAACGTACGAAATCTATGGTCTTCTCTCCGGTGACTTGGAACTTTCGTAGCCGTATGATGCTCCCCCAAATTCCCATTTGATGAGCCACATGTGGACAAGGTGTACTGTAACATGGTCAGCAC